GAGAGAGAGAGAGAGAGAGAGAGAGAGAGAGAGAGAGAGAGAGAGCTGGAACCTCAAAGAGCAAGTTTACTCAAAACGGCCATCAGTAGAGAAGCTTGGTGAGGGGCTTTGTAGAGGGAGTGTTGGAGAGACTGTGGAGGTAGGGAGTTGAGTGTCTAGGGTGGAGTCCTGGGCTCACTCCCCCCTTGTTCTTGTTTAGGTCTAACCGGTTGGGGCTAGAGCTTGCCTGAGGCTTCAGGGTAGGGAGGGGGAGGAGCTCCCTCCTAAGCTTCCTGATCCTGGCTCCAAACTCAGGGCTCCTGCTCTGACTCAGTGGCAGGAGGGGCCCCAAAGGGAGCAAGCGAGTGGGAGCAGCTCTACGGGAGCCACACAATCACACAAGGAGGACACACAGCCTACAATGGTACACTTTGCCATACAAGGTTCATTCTACATATATAAGCTGCCATAGACAAAGACGTGCACATGAATGTGGCCAGGCTCTAGGTTACAGCTGCCCACTGTCAGGCAAAAGTGTATGCTGTCACTTAGAACACTTATATAGTCAGCATACATTATCATACATCACACACACACACACACACACACACACACACACACACACACACACACACACACACAGATATACCTAGTCTTATGCTTTTCAGGATGGAAAAGGATCCCAGGAGTCACTGTATCCACTCTCCTGCTTCTTGCTGGAGCTCTTCACTTGACCCAGATAAGGCCCAAACCCAGCCCATACAGGTAGCTTTTAAACAGCCTGTTTCTTCCAATGGAACATTTAACAACTTCAGATATTTCACACACACACACACACACACACACACACATACACACACACACACACACACACACAAAATTGCCTACACCATCATGTAAATATATAGGTAGATATGCTACATGGTCATGTGCAAGAATATCTTTGCAGCTACAAAGACTCAAACATATGATGCACATTTGTGCATATATATTCATACATTCAAATGCACAATTGTGTATACACATAAATATAACATAAGAGCTATATGTATGTAAACAGTATTCAAATGCACATCTACAGAAGCCTAGAATATATACACACGTTCACAAGGATGCCCAGAGACTGCCATATGAATAAACAAACACTATTAAGTATTGCTTATCCCAGTGTATACACACACACACACACACACACACACACACACACACACACACACACACACACACACGGGCAGCCCCTCATTCCTATAGTCGCCCCACTGAGTTCTGGCTGACAGGTAGCAGAGTGGTCCAGATTGACTGCTCAAGCGCTCTTCTCATCCTCTCACCCACTTTACCCCTTCCCCAGCACTGCTGTCTGCTGTAAGGATCAACGGGGATGGCCAGGAGGTCATGTACCTGGCGGAAGGTGACAATGTGAGGCTCGGCTGCCCCTACATCCTGGATCCTGAGGACTATGGTCCCAATGGTCTGGACATTGAGTGGATGCAAGTCAACTCGGAACCCTCACATAGGGAGAATGTGGTAAGTGTTTGGCACAGGATCCTCTATCCTCCGTATACTCTGTGATGTCAAACCTGACGGGAAGCCAACATCCTGAGGGAGAAAGAAGAAGGCCAGGGAGGAAACCAAGGCTTTGAACTTCCTCCAAGGTCTCTCAGGGAACAAGGCAACAGGGAAAAGAGCTGTCCAACTGGGAATCAAGCCAGACAGATTCCACCTCCCTCTACTCCACATCAAGGGGGAGATTAAGTGTGGCCCCTGCCTTTAGAAGTTGCTGGTCTGACCTTTTATTTGTCTAGAATATCTAATCTCATTAGCTCTTACTCGTTCCCATTTTTTTCAGCTGAGAAAACTGAGTCTTAGAGAAGGTCAGTGAACTACCCACTCAACCCACATGACCCACCTTGGCTCAGTTTGTCTTGACAGCTCTGTCTCTCTCTCTTTTTAACAGTTTCTCACGTATCAAGACAAGAGGATCGGCCATGGTAACCTCCCCCATCTGCAGCAGAGGGTACGCTTTGCAGCCTCAGACCCCAGCCAGTACGATGCCTCCATCAACCTCATGAACCTGCAGGTATCTGACACAGCAACCTATGAATGTCGGGTAAAGAAGACCACCATGGCCACCAGGAAGGTCATAGTCACTGTCCAAGGTACGACCCGGGCTTCAGAGTCAAGGGCGGGTTGGCCGCTGTGAGCCTGGCTCCGTCTTTCGCCTGGATCTGGGTTTATCATCGCCTGCCTGCCTTGTTACAGCACGTCCTGCGGTACCCATGTGCTGGACTGAAGGCCACATGTCCAAGGGCAACGATGTAGTACTGAAGTGCTATGCCAATGGGGGCTCTCAGCCCCTCTCCTACAAGTGGGCCAAGATCAGTGGGCACAGCCACCCCTACCGAGCCGGGTCCTACCACTCCCAGCACAGCTTCCACTCCGAGCTTTCCTATCAAGAGTCTTTCCACAGCTCCATCAACCAAGGTGAGGGGGCCCAGCCGAGGGGGAGGGAAGATAAGTAGTGGATCGGGAAAGGGGGCCTGCTGGGACGTCCATGGCTCGTCAGTGGTACCAAGTCTGTGAGAGACTGCTCATCTGGGCATGTCCCAGCAGCTGCCACTGAGGGAAGGAGAAAAGGTATACATGGGATGTCAGTCAAAAGCAGCATGGTTAGTTTGGAGAGAACATGGTCCAAGGAAGAGCTGGGCTTGAGTCCTGGCTAGGATGCTGATGGGTAGTAAATCTCAGGCAAGTAAGTGGCTTAACACCTCTGTGACAGGTTAAAAAAAAAAAAAAGGAATACTTACTAGTAACTACCATTCACTGGCAAGTGAGGATTGGATGCTCCTTCTAGCATTTGGAGAAGCTGAATAATATAAGGGGGCCAGTGCTCAGGCATCTCAGGATGTATTTCCCTGAGGTCACAGAGAATTAAAGGTGACTCTGTCTTCTTTCTGAGAGAGGGACCCTTCCCTGTCTTTCTGTCTCGGCAAGGGAAGTGTTTAGATTTGAGTGGACTTGTGAATGCTTGCATCCACCTTCCTTGTTTTTTTTAGAGTGGTGTTCCATCCTCCATCCCACAGGGGCTGGGCAGGGTAGGAGCTCTCAGAGATCAGGCATCTCTGTCTCCCTGTCCCTCTGACGCTCTTCCAATTTCAGGCATGGGCAATGGGGACCTGGTGCTGAAAAGTGTCAATGCGGATGATGATGGGCTGTATCAGTGCACAGTGGCCAACCATGTGGGCTACAGCGTCTGTGTGGTGGAAGTGAAAGTCTCAGGTAGGTACAGCAGCTCCAGAGTCCCCTGGCTGGGAGGGTTGGAATGCGGGTACCTAGACTTTATTTTGGAGCCTCAGCTGGTTGCCTCTCCTCTCCTGCTCTCAGGCTAGGCCTTTGTCTAGAGCAGCTGGAAGCCATCTGCAGATTCGCTTACCCTTTACCTTCTCACATCTTCCTCGCTGGACTTCCCAGGGCCCTGGGTTCTTTCCCACAGACATTTGCCCTGGCATGTGCCAGACTGTCAGAAGCCTGATTGCCTCCCCTTCTCTCCACAGACTCCCAGCGTGTAGGCATGATCGTCGGCGCGGTGCTGGGCTCTTTGCTCATGCTGGCCTGCCTGGCACTAGGCATCTGGGGGCTCATCTGCTGCTGCTGCGGAGGCGGCGGGGCTGGTGGTGCCCGAGGTGCCTTCGGCTACGGGGTCGGCGGCGGGGTCGGCGGCGGGGCCTGCGGCGACATGGCTAGTGAGATCAGGTAAAACCTGATGCATGCTGCATGCTGCTGCACGGCGGGGGACCGGCGCCCTGTCCTCTTCACCCTTGTCTGCCATCGGCCGGCTGGGAACCCCACCCCAAACCTGCCCCACCATCGCCATGGAGTGCTGGGACTGCAGCATGTCGACCTGCCCACTCGCCGCATGGCTTTTCTGTCTCCCTCCCCACCCCCCCACCCCGCTTCCAGTCTTCACCTCTGCTCTCTGCCTTCCCCTTTCTTTCTGTCGTCTATGCATCCCTCGGTCTCCCTGGCCTAGACTGTAAGCTCCTGGAGGGCAGGGACCGTGTGTTTTTACCTTCCCCTTGTATTGCGCCGGCAACATGCCTATTTAAGAAGAGGTAACATCGGTAGTGCGAATAACTTATATTAGACGCAAACTAGAAATAAAAATAGAACAAGAGTAGCAGTGTTAATGATTGCAATGCCTTGGGGACAGAGGGAAAGAAGAGCGAGGGCCAGGAGGCGATGAGAGCTTGCCAGAGCGCAGGGTGAGGGTTGGTCAAGGAAAGGAGCGACACTAAGACTCCCTTTCCAGCCAAACACTAGAAAGGGACCGAGGGCGCCTGACGGAGGCTGCCCGCCGTGAGCTGCTGGGACACTCGAGGACGAGCGGGTCTGAAGGATGAGGATGGTGGCATGGGGGCGCTGCAGGGTCGCTGGCCCAGGAATGTACAGAGAGGAGAGTAGGTTGAGAGAGAGAGAGGTGAGGGGCAGGTGGAGGGGGGCGCGGGAGATGAGAGGTTGCCAAGAGCCCCCAGCTCTGCCCAGGCCGTGCCAACGCCGCGCCGTGGAGGAGCCAGCTCACGCGCCCGCCTGTTGTTTTCCAGAGTGGACGCCGAGGCGCCCGGGTGCAAGGCCAGCGGGCGCGGCAGCCGCGTCACCCATCTCCTGGGGTACCCGACGCAGAACGTCAGCCGCTCCCTGCGCCGCAAGTACGCGCCTCCGCCCTGCGGCGGCCCCGAGGACGTGGCCCTAGTGCCCCGCACAGCCTCTGCAGCCTGCGAAGCGGGCCCTTCCCCCGTCTACGTCAAGGTCAAGAGCGCAGAGCCGGCCGGCTGCGCCGACTGTGCCCAGGTCGAGCAGCGGTCGTGCAAGGACGGCCTCTTAGTGTGAGCGCGCGGCACCGGGCTGCGCCCCGGCTGGCAGGCGGTTCGGGGCTCTCCGCCCGCAGCTGGGGACAGGCTCGGGCAGGCGCAGACCTGGCTCTCACCGGCCGCTTGGTGGCAGAGAGTTCAGGGGAATTTCCCTCAGAGATGCCTGGGGGACAGAGAGCCTCCTGTGGCTCTGAACTAGGAGGGGGCGGGGGACAGAGGAAGACAGTTCAGAGCCCTCCCTCACCCCTGGGCTCCAGGGAGAGGAAGGGAGGGAAGCAGTCGGTATCCCAGAACCGCAGAGGTACAAGCCAGGTGTCCCCAGCCACGGCAGAGGGCCCCCAGCCCTGGGAAGGTGGGGGTCAGGACTGGATTGTTCTGTGTGTGAGATCTGAGCTCCGAGGCAACAGTGTTAGCACAATAAAGAAGCTTAAAGATGACACCCAAGTGGCTGTCCCGCGTTCCTCAGAGGGCTGGGCGGGCGTGGGATGGGGAGCCCTGACAAGTTGTTCCTCACTGCCTTGCCTCCTAGCTAAATCCTCTGCTTCCCCTTACTGTAGGGAAGGCTGCAGCTGGAAGAGGTCATCTAGTCCTATTCCTTCACAGAGCACATGGGAAACTGGGGTCCTTCAGAACGGACTTTTCCAAACTTGTGTTTCCCCTTTTATTCTAGAAGAGGGAACGAGTGTGTGTGTGTGTGTGTGTGTGTGTGTGTGTGTGTGTGTGGTGTTAGAGGTGACCTCTACACGGTCCCTGACCATTCTCAGCATCCCCTTTTCTCCATCCATCTACCTAATCCGAACTTCTTTATCTCTCTCAGGTGTATGCCTTCCTTCCCAGCAGCCAGGAAGGGATCTAAACCCATTCAGACTCTGTCATAGAAAGACCTGAGGATATCTAGCGCAAGCCTTTCTTTGATGAGAAGGTTAAGTTTATTAGACACCCACTGAGTGCCAGGTGCTTTCAAATGTTTTATTTTACTTCTTAACTTTAGCTCTGTGGGGCTGTGCATCATTCCTGTTATACCCAAAAGAAACTGAGATTCAGGGGGATTACGTATCTCATCTGAGTCAAAGGGGGAAAAAAGGCAACAAGTCAGGATTTGGTCTAGGAGTATTTGATTCCAGGACACCAGGCTGTTCTCTGATAGCTGAATTCCTTCTGTAACATTCCTGACGAGGACTGTCCCAACCCCCTTCTTGCCTACCTTCCATGCCAGCTCACTGCCTCCCAAAGCTTGAGTCTTTGGTTGGGAAGATCTCATAGGAAATTTCTTCGATTGACTGTGTGTACCTTTTATTCTTTGTCCAAGATCTCCTTGTGGGGAGCCCAGAGCGTCCTATCTCGACTCAGCTGCCTCTAGTGGACCACATGGTTGTGTTCCACCCAGGACACCTGTCTGGTGTTAGTGGGTTGAGGGATCTTCACAAGTTCACAGCACAGTAAAGCCGCTTAGCTGTGCTTGCCTTTCCCCAGCCACCTGCTAGCCGAGAGCCCAGATTCTTCTCTGGTTTCTCTTCTCAGAAGAAACTGGTCATTCCTAATCTTCCTTCTCCCGTCCCAGGGCAACATAAAGTAGGTATGCATAAGGCTTAGAGTATCCTTCTTGGAAGTAAATAACCTGGAAACCTCTGAGATGGCTTGGGGGTTTGTCAAGGGGTGGCGGCGTTGTCCATTCTGCCTTGGCAGTCTTGGCAAGACAGATGAGAGAGGATGAGTTCTGGGACAAAGGGAATCCAAGACTGTTTACCTAGGGACCGGGGAATGGGCATTGGGGGGGGGGTGTATGGAGATGAAGGGGGAGGAGAGTTAAGCAGGGAGGGAGTAGAGAACTCCAGAAGCCAGCAACCACTTGGTGGTGTTGATGGGTGCCTTTCAGATGACTTATTCGTAGATAGAGTTAGCTTTTCGGCAGGGCGCTGTGCCCGGCACACTTTCGCCCTAAGGCAGGTGACTGATGAAGATGAAATGAGGAAAAGGTGGCTCCCACTCTGAGGAACTGCCAGCCCAGCCTCCTGCCAGGTGGTGAGGGGCTGAGGCAGCCAAGTGGCTTACTGTTTGTGTTTAGTGACATCCTCCCCTACCCCTCCCCCCCCCAGTAGGGGAGTCATCTTTACATTCAGCTGTCATTTGAGCAGTGGCAGTGGTGAGGCCCTGGTGACAATTTCTGTTAGGGTGAGTCTAAGTGTTAAGTTAGGGGACGTTTCTAAGTGTACGGTGAAGGACACTTACTTTTCCAACAGTTGGTTTTATTATAAGACCATCTGGGTCTTTTTCTCTCATTTCTTCTGCTTGTAACCTGTTTGGTGTGTGAAGAGGGAACATATGGTTATACACGTTGAATATGGATTTGGGGGTGAGCTGGACTGGAGTGTGTGTGGGGGGGGGTCACGGAAGCTTTGATTTGTAGCTGGGTTGCCACATTTAGGTGGGCCATATCACCATTCTTGCTAGTCAGCTTTGAATCATTATGACAAACTCCTGAGATAATGAATTTTGAAAGAGGAAAAGCTGATTTTGACTCACAGTTTTGGAGATTTCTGTTCATGGTTGCTTGGCTTCCTCGCCTTTAGGCCTTTGTTGAGACAGCGCATAGTTGTGAAAGCACACTGGAGGAAGAGGTTCATTCCTTCGAGCTGGAAAGCAAAGAGCAAAAGCATGGGGAAGGATTGGACAAGCCCCGAATGTCTTAACTTCCTTCTTCTCACTTGGCCTTCCAAAGGTTCCGCCTTCTCCCAATATTGGCAGAGACTGAAATCAAGCCCACAACACCCAGGGCTTTGGTTACTAATCTAGACTGCAACACCAGCCAAACAGCGGGCGAGGTGCACACGCTGCCTCCAAGGGCAATCTTAAAGACAGTTCTGACTTACTGTTGTCTGTCTGTCTTTCCCCCAGAGACTCAGATAGCACAAAGTCACCTGTTTCCATTCTTCTTTCCGATTCTGTCTTTTGTACCTCTTCCCAACCTTGCCAGGACTGAATTGTAGTTCTTTGGGTCACTGAAGAATTATGTAGGTAATCGACATCTCCTTGGTAACACACACCACTCTCTTGATAGCCATGAGAAGCTCCATTCGGCATTCACAAGATTTGCATGAATTTTGCCTTCTGGTACATCTGATGGTGGGGCCTCTCTGCTAGAAATGCTTCTGAGTCTTCACTTACTCAGCCCCTCTGACTTCCCTCCCCAGCCCTTAGAAAGACAGAGAGTCAATTCTCAAGCCTGTGGGGAAGAGGAATCCTATGAATCACCTGCTTGTTCCTCAGAGGGTAACCATGGCCATCCAGGCTGGCCATTGCATTTCTACTACCCTAGGTCAAGTCTAGGTCCAGCCAAACTCTCTCTCTCTCTCTGATTCTTCCTCTTTCCCTCCCCACTGTGTGTGTGTGTGTGTGTGTGTGTGTGTGTGTGTGTGTCTGTCTGTCTGTCTGTCTGTCTGTCTGTCTGTCTGTCCCACTTACTGTGGTTAGGCTGTGGCCTGTCTGGGGATAAAATGACTGATCAAGACTTTAGATCTGTCTCCTAAGCTTCCTGGGGTCTTCCCCCTGGCTTTGTTCCCTGATTTAGTGGGAGCCTGGGAAATCCTGCCCTCTGTTTTCCCATCTGAAACAATGATTTCATGTATTCCTGGTGTGAGAAAACAAAACCACTTCCATCCAGTTCCTTGTTCTTCTTTGCTAAATTAATTTTTGTACAACAGTCTCTGCTTCTGTAAAGTTGTAGAAGTCAAACAGAAAGGGATTACCGTGTACCTCAGGTAGTGTGACCTAAATCACAGTTTGGCAAGTATAGCTTGAAGGTCAAATCTGGCTCGTGACCTGGTTTTATATATAAATCTTTATCAGCATCTCTTTGTTCTTAGGGCAGGGGAGGTGGCGACTTTGGGAAATCTGGAGAGCTTTGGCTTTGGTCACTGTGCCTACTGGTGGGGAGCAGACAAGATGGCCTGCTGGGCCTCTGTGGCCACTGCCCTTAGCAGCCATTTTGGACGGGACACTGAGCAATAGCAGAGATACAGAAGTTCTGGACCAAGGCAAAGAGCTAAGCAGAGGAGGACTGGGGTCAAACCCTGGACTTGTTTTCATCAAGGCTGAGTCAGTGATGGCGGGTCCTGTGTGGACTTGGGGGGTAGGAGAAAAAGAGAAGGAATAGAACAACTGTAATGAAGGGTTGTGAGTTTTCCTTGTTCACACGTGCAAAAGGAGCCTGTGCTTTTAGAGATGGACAGAACTGGGTGGGTGGGTAGGCTTCCAAAGTGTCAGTTTCTTAAATGGAACCTGGAGAAGGTTATCTGATGTGTTGTGCATATTACACACACACACACACACACACACACACACACACACACACACACACACACACTTATGTAGTAGGAACTCAGCACGTGGTTGAGCCCTCTGTATCTGATGTGCCACACACAAAGGCAGACCTGGAAGCCTGGACCTAACCATAGAGGGGTTGGGATGAAGGCTGGGGTGGTTGGAGGACTTCAGGGAGGGGTGTCGCTGTGTGGTCATGTCACGGGTGTGTGGGTTCACGCGGATCCATGGAAAGAAGACTCAGGCATCTTAAGAATGAATCTAAGCCGGGCGGTGGTGGCGCACGCCTTTAATCCCAGCACTCGGGAGGCAGAGGCAGG